GTGGGGGTTGCCAACACTTTGGAGGATGGAGCTAAAATTCAGAAGGACCTCGATAAATTGCAGAACTGGGCTGTAGACGACACAATGAAATTAATCAAGGCCAAATGGAAGATGCTCCACTTAGGGAAGAAAAACCAAATGCACAAATACAGGATGGGGAAGAACTGGCTTGGCAGCAGCACTGCGGAGAAGGAGCTGGGATTTGGGGTTAATTACAACTTCGACATGAGTCAGCAATGCGATGCTGTTGCAAAAGAGAAAATGCAATTTCAGGTTGCATTAGCAGAGGCAGAACATGCAAGTCAGCCACCTCTGATGGCTCCCCCCTCTGCAGCCAGGGCAGGGCACTAAAGCTGCCCCCGCTGCCCCACAGCTCTCTCCCCCATCCCCACTCCACCCTGCTTCTCCTACAGCTGGGACTCTCCTCCCACTATGATAATGATACTGAGCACTCCCTCCTCCCCACGCTTCTGAGGCCTTGTCTACCCTGGCTAGTGTCTGCGCAATAAAGCACCTTTGAGCGCTGTAGCTCCCGAGGTGCACACGCTGTCAAGCCACTTAGTGCGCAGAAACTATGCTGTTGCAGCGCTCTAAAAAAACCACCCCAACGAGAGGCGTAGAGCTTTCTGCGCCGGGGCTAAAGTGCCGCGGTGCCAGTGTAGACACCGTAGCGATTACAGTGCTGCGACTGGCCTCCAGGAGGTGTCCCACAATGCCTGTTCTCGCCTCTCTGGTCATCGGTTTGAACTCTACTGCCCTGCCCTCAGGTGACCAATCATCAGCCCTGTACATTCCTTTGCAAATTTGAAAGTCCCCTTTCTGTTTGCTCGGTGACGCGTGCAGTGGTCTCAGCGCATCTTTCCAGGTGGCCACGCCTGCTCCACACACCAGGTGATCCCCCGCTTGGAGCAATGCCGAGCTGCTAGACCCCATCGGCATTTGGGGAGAGGAGGCAGTGCAGTCCCAGCTGCGCTCCAGCCGTTGGAATTATGATACCTACGGACAGATTTCTAGATGCATGACAGAAAGGGGCCATGGCCGGGACACACTGCAGTGCAGGGTCAAAGTGAAGGAGCTGCAGAACACCTACCACAAGGCGTGGGAGCCAAACCACCGCTCCGGTGCTGCGCCCATGAGCTGCCGGTTCTACAAAGAGCTGAAGGCGATACGTGGTGGCGACCCCCCCCACACACACACACTGCGAAGGGCCCTGTGGATACTTCGGTGACTCACGTGCCAGTCGAGAGTGGACCGAGCCAGGAGGAGGAAATCTTGGACGAAGAGGGGGAGGGGGACCCAGAGGCAGAGGATGACTCAGAGGCCAGAGATGCATGCAGCCAGGAGCTCTTTTCTACCCCGGGGGGAGCCTAGCCAGTCACAACAGTCAGATCTTGGTGAAGTGCAAACAGGAGAGGAGGCCCCTGGTAAGTGGATCTGATTTGGGGAATTGCTGAAGTGAGTTGTTGAGGGCAAAAAGCAGGTTTGTCTCCCACCGCATGCCTAGTCTGAGTGGAGGAACAGGCTGGTGATTGACTCCCTCACTTCTCAGGAATCTCCCTCAGAGATCTCCAGGAAACTCTCGTGGAGATACTGGGCAATCCGCTCCCGCGGGTTCCTCGGCAGAGCTGCTTTGTGTCTTGCCCTATTAACGGTAACTTTCCCACGCCACTCTGCCATCACTGGGAGGTGGGTGGGGGGACACACCATGTCTGCACACAGGTGAGCCACATAGGAGCCAGGGCGGAAGCCGCAGGCTGGGAGAAGACCCTCCCTTGATTTCCTGCTCACCCTGAGCAGTGAGATATCTTCCATAATAATCACCTCCTGTGGAAAGTGTGGGGACAGGAATGATTATCAGGCCCCCCCTACAGTGCTGGCTCTCCCCAAGAGCCACGTGCCCAGTGTGCAGCAGGGTCCAGGAAGAGTGATGTACCCTGCCCCTGCAGCTACTCACCATTTTGGGGTCTTGTGGCTCATATGTGCTTGCCTGGTGCGTGACAGGTGTGTGAGTACTGGCTGTGTTTTAAAGCACTGAATCAGTGTTGTCTGTGTTCCAAACAAGACTGTTTCTGTAAAATGTTGCATTTAAATTTCACAGTGATGACCTTGGGAGCCCAGCCTCCCTCTTTGTTATTACCAGCTGAATGACTGTGAAGAATTAGAAAGCGGCTAAGAAGAACTAAGGAGGACTTTCTCTGTGAGGTTATGATGCACTCCACCACCGAGAAACAGGAATTGAAGGTGTGATGGGACAGCGAGAAGAGGGAATGAAAGGAGAACACGGCAGGCCAGAACAAAGCCACGGAGCGGCTCTTAAACATTATGGAGCTCCAAGTGTGTATTGTGCAAACTTGATGAGAACGATTTTATGTTGTCTTCTAGGTCGTTAAAATAGGTGTTAATGAGCGTTGGGCTGAGGACAGTTCCCTGCAGGATCCCTCTGGAAACACGCGCTCGCTGCTGCTTCCCTGGTGACAGTTACCTCTGGAGATCTAGCAGTCAGCCAGTTTTGAATCTGGGACACGGTAATTTCGTATCCTTCTAGTTTTTTAATCAAAATGTCATGCGGTGCCAAGTGAAACTCCCTACGGAAGGCGATGGATATTACATCACCGCCATTGCCTTTAGTAACAGTGTGAAAATCAGGACAGAGGACTTGTAAGGCCCTATGTGTGTGTGTTATTTGTATTGCAATGGTGCTTTTGAAACCCTGGCTGAGTTCAAGGCCGCATCATGCCAGACACTCCACAGATACAGACAGAGACAGGCCCTGTGCCAGATGAGATTGGGGCTGGCATGCCGGTGTGAAGAAGTTGGGGATTTTCATAGTGGTTTACATGAATGCTATGTGTGTGCCTCAGCTTCCCTGTGTGCTGTGTGGGTAACGAGGTGCAGGGAGAGGGTTCATTGTTGCAGAGGACAGGTGTGACCTCCCCTAGCAGCCAGGACCCCAGACAACGGCCTAGAGATGGGGTCCCTAGCAACTGGTGACCTGGTGACCAGGAGGCCCCCCCAGCTTGGAAGGCAGCCAGTTCTGGCCAGTGGAGGACAATGGGCTGAGCAAAGAGGACCCCGTTGACCTGTTTACCTGGGATGGAGAACAAAGGACACAAAGGACAGGGGAGGAGCTCTTGGGGCCAGTGATATCGGATGCCCAGCTGGAAGGAGGGGGCATCCGGGCTGGGGGGAGAGAGCAGCCAGAGCCCACCTGGATGCGGGAGAGACCCAGATGTCCTGTGCGGAGGGAGGCCAGGCCCGAGGGCCCTGAGAGCCTCCTGTGCTGGGTTCAGACGTTCAATAAACCTCCTGTGTGACGCTGGCAGTCACTGCAGCTAGAAATCGGGGGGCGTTGCTCCCTTGGGGGGTGGATCCAGAGCGAGGGGACTCCCTGAGGGGGCCCATGGCAGAGACAGGCCAGCTCGGAGGTGCGGTCCCAGGAGGCGGTGGGGCCAGAAGGCCTAACCCCGGAGAGAGAGTGCAACCTTCCCGGGAGGCTGTCACGCCAAAGGAGGGTCACTCCCTGGGGCCGTACGGAGCCGAGCGAGAATGAGTCCTGTGAGTCCGTGACAGCTGGGTACTGCTCAGACACCACAGGCACCGACTTCCCCTCTGCCCTGTGGGTGCTCTATCCCCCTGGCCCCGCCCTGGCTGCCTCTGGCCCTGCCCCTGCCCACCCCTGCATCACCCTCGCCCTGCCCCAATTCCACCCCTTCCCCCTAATTCCCTGCCACGTCTCTTTACCGCCTAGGGTGACCAGACAGCACGTGTGAAAAATCGGGACAGGGGGTGGGGGATAATAGGAGCCTATATAAGAAAAAGACCCCAAAATTGGGACTGTCCCTATAAAATTGGGACATCTGGTCACCCTATTACCGCCTCCTTCCCCGAGAGCGGCACATCCCCACTCCTCCCCGTCCCTCCCAAAAAGTCCTAAGCACTGCCGAACAGCTGTTAGGCAGTGGGCGGGAAGCGCTGCGAGGGGAGGAGTGGGGATGCAGTGCGCTCGGAGGAGGGGGCGGCGAGGAGGGGGTGGGGGGAGGGGATCCTGGCTGCTGGTGGGTGCAGAGTACCCACTAATTTTTCCCCGTGGGTGCTGCAGCACTGGAGTCGGCTCCTATGCCAGACACAGCGAGAGACAGGCCCCGCCCCAGCTGAGATCAGGGCCCTGTTGTCCCAGGTGCTGTCCAGACACAGCGAGGGATAGGCCCTGCCCCAGCTGGAATTGGGGCCGTTATGCCCGGCCCTACCCAGAAACCAGCTGCGATCAGGGCCTTCCAGGGGAAAGGCAGAAGTGAAAACTGATTCTTTACTGGACACAAATAAGTCATAGTTGTTATTGGCTCTTTGTCTGAAAAGTAACAGTGACAAAAAATGACACATGAAAATCTATTTCAAGAAACAGCTTGTAAACAGGGAATTTTACAGTCGGATGTTTTTGGCTTTGGAGTGAACATTTTACCTTTAATAGAACATTGTTATTAAGAAGTTATAATCATGTGTCACTGATTGACCTAGACAGAGACCAGGGCCCCATTGTGCCAGGCGCTGCCCAGACACAGTGAGAGACAGTCCCTGCCCCTAAGAGTTTATAACCTATGTAGCCCAGGGAACCATTATTATTCCAATTTTAGGGGTAAGGAAACTGAGATGAGACAGATGCAGCAACTGGCCCAACCTCACCTACAGCATTTTCAGTGGAGCAGGAACAAGAACCCAGACAGCCTAAGTACCAGGCCAGCACCTTAACCACAAGCCCATCGCTAGTCTCCCGCCAGCTGCTGCCCCTGCGCTTGAAAATCGTGTCCATCTGTGAAACGAGTGGGTGAGGGCTCAGGCAGGGTAGAAGAGAGACAATCTATGGCTGAGGGGTGAGAGGCTCTTTCCCCCGGGGGCAGTGGGGTTTGGGAGGGGGCAGGCTTTGGGACCCGGCTGCAGGGGATTCTGGGATACCTCCCCACAATGCAGTGCTCCAGCATCTCCAAAGCCTAGTTGACTCTGACCTGAAACTGGGGTGATGCAGGGATTTGCACCCAGGTTTCCCATGTCACCGGCCGACCCCTTTCTCCTTCCCTCCTCGCTGTGACACCCCCCCCACCGTCAAGCACTGGATGGGCTGGAGACGCCCAGCCTGAGCCCATGGCGCGAGGGGGCTATTTCGGCCGGACCTCGGAATATTCCATGTCCGGGGCCTCTGGGGGCTCCCCCCATTTGCACTGCAGCTTGGAGAAGTTGATGGAGGCGTAGTGCAGCTCGTCTGGCTCCCTGGGGCCTAGCAGGGCCTGTGCTGTGACAGCCCTGTCCTGGATGCCTTTGGTCCGGTGGGCGGCTGGAGTCTTGTGATCCTGAGTGAGGAGCAAGGCAGAGACACCAAGCAGAGACTTGCCTCCACCCGCTGAGCTGATCACATGGGCTGCCCCAGGCCTCGTTTCCCCCACCCTCCATGCAAATGCATTTCCTGCATCAGGCGTGCACAGGACATGCATTAGCAAGATGCATGGGGGTGTGTGCATTTTATGCACCATGCATGCAGGATTTCATCTCATGCATCTCATCGCAGAACAGGTTCTGGAAATGTATTGGCTGGATTTCATGCACCGGGGCACACATGAACTGCTCCCATGCCACTTGGGGCAGAACTGGGTAAGTTAATACATTTAGTGCATTGCCTGCAACAGCCACGCATTAGCAAGACACATGGGGTTCTGTGCATTTTACACATTGTGCATGCATGCACTGATCTCATGCATCTTGGGGCAGCACCGGTTAAGTTAATGCATTCTCTGCATTGCCTGCACCAGCCATGCATTAGCAAGATGCATGGGGTTGTGTGCATTTTATGCCCTGTGCATGCATGATTTGATCCCATGCATCTCATGGTTGCACCGACCATGTTGATGCATTCATTACATTTTCGGAAGGGTACAACAGACACAGAGCACCCTGCATACACTGTCTGATCACAAGCACCTGATACCATAGCAGGCAGCTGCAGAAATGCATTTCTTGCCGGGTTGGTGCATCCAGGAGATGCCCGGGGGTTAGCAGCATTCCAGCCCCAATCTAGTCCCGTGCACTTTGTGAATGCACGTGAATGCATTCGCTGCATGTCCTCCCTTCTGAGCGAGACCCGTGGGATGAGGTGCATTTTCTACATGCAGGAGCTGATCCCACGCAGTTCGGGGAGCCCAGGCTGGTGGCAGGGGTGCATTTCTGGCACTGGGCACACATGGGTGGAGGGGGTTGGGTGCCCTGCTGAAAGCCTGGCGTATAGTCCTGCATTCATTAAGGGGTAGGAAAGTGGTGGAAGGGAGAAGAAGAAATGGAGGGGAGCAGAGACGAAGTGGGATGGGAAGCGCATGTGGGCTTGGTCCCCGGGAGGACTAGGTACATACCATGGGCATGGTGGGGACGTTACTGTAGATCAGGCTGGCGTCATCGGCCGTGAGCTCGGCCTGGCTCCCGTTAGCCATCTCCCCGGCCTCAGTGCTGGGGGGCGCCAGCTCCCAGCCCCGCAGCCTGTGGGGAGACGGATCAGGACGGACTCATGAGACCGGGGAGGCGTTAGAATAGCCCCGTAGGAGGGAGGAAGGTGGCAGCCCAGTATGAGAGGCTAGAGCGCAGGGGACTGGGATAGGCCAGGGAGAGGGGTTGGGGGGGGATCTCACTGGGGGAGGATCTCACTGGGAGGGGGTTGGGGGGGGCTGGAATAGCCCAGGGGAGATGGCAGGGGATCTCAGCGGGATCTCAGCAGGGAGCAGTGGAGGGTCAGGGCGGGAGGCATCAGACTCACTTGATCACACAGAGCCTGAGAAGGACGAAGCCGATGGCGACCCCCAGCCCACAGGCCACCCCAACGCCCAGCAGCTTGCCAGGCTCCTCCGCACCTGGAACAACACACAGCATGGGGCATGGCTGGGAGAGAACCCAGGAGTCCTGGCTCCCAACTCCCAGACCCCACCCTTCTTCCAGGGCTGGGGAGAGAACCCAGGAGTCCGAGTGTCTCACCTCTCCGTGGGGGGCTGAAGTCAAAGTGCAGGGCGGTGTAGGTCCCGTGGGGGTTGAAACCGAGGCAGAAGATTCTGGGGCCACCGTCCCCGCTCCCCGTCCAGCTCAGGGTGCTGGAGGCCTCGTCCCCCTGGGCCCACGAGCTGACCTGCAGGGCCCCCCATGAGCCGTTCCCAGCCAGGGGCTCCCCATCCACCTGCCACTGAAGCCAGGGTGGGGGGCGGGAGCGCAGGGAGCAGCTGCAGTTGATGCTGGGCCCCTGGCGCTGGCAGGATGAGTTCAGCCCGGTCGCTGGCCGGGGGCTGTCTGGGGAGAGCAGGAGACACAGCGACAAATTAATAGTTAAAGAGAGAAACCCCGTGGCAGTGAGTCCCATAGATTAACGTGCTAATATCTAGTGGCAGGGAGTCCTGTGGGTTCTTCTGCCCTGGGATGTCTCTTCGGTCGGCCCCTGGGCGTTGATCTGGCCCCATTCTCGGCCAGCAGCGCTTCACACCAACCCACCTGCTTCTCCGCCTTCAGCCTGGGTGCTTACGGCCCTTGTAGACGGCCCAGGAGTCTGTTCAAGCCTCAGCTGCCCCCCTTGGGGCTGCCCCTGAAGCAACTAATTAACTATGGCATTGGGGGCATTGGTTCTGTCTCTGTTTAAAGGGGCCAGGCACCTGTGACACCTGCTAATACTCAGTGGCGAGGAGACCCACTGATTAACACTGCTACTCTCCAGCGTCAGCGTCCCGGGGCAGGGAGTCCTGTGGTTTAACCCCACTCACACCCAGTGTCACGGAGAGCCACGGGTTAACTGCACTCACACTCGACGAGCAGCTGGAACATCCCCTGGGCAGAGCTCTCCTCATTGTGGGCCCAGCACCCATACAGCCCCCCATCCTCGGCCGTCACGTTGGGCAGCTCCAGCTGCAGCTGATTCTCCCCCGCAGGGCGGGCACCCTCGACGGCTCGGCCCCCCCTCACCCAGCCCAGTGCAGCGGGGGGGCTACTGGCGACGGAGCAGAGGAACCGCAGGGAGTCGCCCTCCCGGGCCGAGAGCTGTGAACCGTTCCCCACCAGGGTGCTGGGGTCTGGGAACAGGAATAACATAGAGCCACTCGCACCCTGAGCCAGCCAGTCCCTGCCTGGGGGCTGGATCGGGGCTGGTGCCCCGTAGAGGGGAAAGGCCCCGTCCCCACTCCCCACCCCCCAGCGATACCTTGCAATAGCTGGGGGTCGCTCCTGTTAGCTCTGAAGACGATGATTTGCAGAGTCCTCTCTAGAGCTGAAATACCCACGGCAACGTATTAGATTGGAGAGAGCCCCATACAGAACCCCTGCTCCACAGCCCAGCACCCCCCAATGAACCCCTGCCCCTCCCTGCAGCCCAGCACCCCCCATGGATCCCCCGCCCACCCCCTGCAGCCCAGCACCCCCTACTGACCCCCTGCCTTGCTCCCTGCAGCCTAGCGCCCCCTACTGACCCCCTGCCTTGCTCCATGCAGCCCAGTGCCCCCAACAGAGCCCCCGCCTCCCCCCTGCAGCCCAGCACCTTCCACTGAGGCCCCTCCCTGTGGCCTGGCACCCCCTAACTCCTTACACTGCATGTGCACATGCAGGGCCCGGCTGGCCGACCCATAGGAATTCTTTGCCCAGCACTGATACTCCCCGGCGTCCCCTCTGCTGAGATTCGGCAGCTTCAGGTGCCCGTCCCCTCCCTGTCTGGAGCTCAGGGACTCGTTCCCCTTGGCCCAGCTCAGGGTGGCCTCGGCTTTGCTCCCAGCCTCACAGCTCAGGCTCAGGGAGTCGCCCTCCTGGGTCTCCAGAGACACGATGTCGCCCTCAGCTCCCCACGCATCTGGCACTGGAAGAGTCGAGCAGGCGGGTTTGGTCCCCCCAGAGATCCCCCACTAAAGACCCGAGATGCAGCCACCTCTGTGGTGGGACATGGGGGCTGTTTATACAGGGACCCCTCACCCGGCGCTGAGACGTGGCCCCTCTGTGGTGGGCGCACGATCTCGGTGCCTTTCCATGGCAGCAGGTCTCCATCGCAGAGATCGGTCCATAACCCATCACATCCCTGCTGCTCAGCGCCTCCTAGTGCTGCCCCGGGGTCTGGAGACAGAGGGAACCGGGCCCACTCGCCCCCCCTACAGTCCTGAGGCTTCCTCGGGCTCTCCCCTCCGCGCACGGACCAGCCTGACCCGGCTGAGCCTGGCGCCTGGCCCTGAGTGCGGGCAGAGCATGACTAGGAGGTAATCGCTGATTCCCGGGGCTTGCAGCGCGGCCTCTCACCGGGGCGTCCGTTCCTGGTCAGGTTCCCGGTGATGTTGGGGGGCCCGGGTGGGTCTGTAACACAAACCAGACAGGGGTGGATCAGGGGGCTGGAGAGCACTGGGGGCGGGAGGGTCACTAGTGATCACTGAGCCTAGACATGGCCCCTCGCTGTGAGCTCAGCTGTGGGACGGGAAAGTCCCTGAAGTGACACAAGACCCGTGGGCAGGGAAGGGAAGCGACAGACCCGACTGAGCCCGACCCAAGAGGCGCCCGATGTAACCCAGGGGCCGGGTTAGGGCAGAGCCGGGGAACCAGAACCATGGGAAATGGAAACCCAGGAGACCAAAACTGGTGGTCAAAATTTGGCCTAATTGGCGGAGGCACAAACGAGGGGCCAGGCTGCTCAGGCTTGGGTACTAGAGCGAGCGTTACCATCTCGGAGCCACTGTCTGCTGGGCACCCAGGCGCTCCCCAAATGTGTCCTCCCCAGGGTGGGTCAGAGCCAGGGGTCTAAACCCCACTTCCGCCCCCACCCCAGTCCCAGCCACCACCAGGGACGTCAGACACCCCCGGCATGGGTCCTTTGCCTTCCCCGCTCGGTTCTTCTCTCCCCAGCCCTCTCCTTTTGCCCCCGGGCTTGCCCCAGGCCTGGATATTTTGCTGCCTGGTTACCCGGCTGCACACAAATGGGTCTGTCAAAGCAACACCCGGAAGAGGTGGAAGCGGGTACCGGCTGCCATCAAAACCCCACGTCGCCGAGGCTCAGAGCCTGGTTC